TCTCTCAGTTATACGTAATAGGTGTTCAATAGATATTTGTTGAATGAGTGAATAAATAAACAGAAGCAAATAGAGACAGAAAATGCCTTTTATTAACTTAAACAACCTTCCACATGAGTCATTGGCACTGAACTCAGATTTCTATACAGAGTTTATTTCCGTTGGTAGTTTATTTCTGTACAGATTGCATCATTAATGATGATGATACGAGAAGAAAAGAAGGATGAAGGAGAAAGGGCTACTATTATTTTCAGTATCGATTATGTTCTAAGTACTGCATTAAAGTGCATTATCCACATTCACTCGTTTTCCCAGCCAACCAGAGAAAACTTAAGAGATTAAAAACCAAGCTTGAGTAACACTAACAAACTGTGTATGGTTTTGATTGGCAGTTGTGGCCAATGCTGTCGATGCCCCCCGCCCCTTGGGCCACCTGAGCTCCCAGAGCTCCCCTGCCCAGTACAGTTTCCAAGGTTGGCAGCTTCCCTGCTCAGGTGCCTTTGTCCCTCATCTCCCACTGAGGACTCCTCTGGCATGTGGGAACGTGCTTGCCTGTGAACAGGTGCAACCTGTAAGTGTGGCAAGGTTAGCTCTCCACCAGTAGAGGGTGAGTCCTTGGATAAATGCCCCAGTCTCCAGGGTTGGGGATTCTGAGGTATGTTTTACACAGTTTCTCAGCCCATTTCAGAACTCTTATAACGAGGAGAAGCATTATTTCATGTTTCTTTAAAAAGGAACCTGGTTGTTTATATTTATATTCAAGCATCAGGAAATTTGGACTAATATTACCAATCAGGGTAAAAGAGCTTTTTGTTTCATGTTGGGAACCTTACTACTGTGAAAAAAATTATCTCCTATGTCGTAGCTCAGATCCCCCAAGAGCAGACCTTGAGACAAGCACTTGGAAGCAGTTGTTTTACTTGGGGAAAGGGAACACTTTAGAAGGTTGGGTTAGAGGGAGGCAGGAAGAGATCGCAAATATATTCTTTATGCATCAGTAATTGTTTTACATGTTACATGCTTTACTTTGGTAATTTAAAAATAACTATTAAAGAAAACATAAAAAAGCTTTTTTAAAAAATCTTAAAAACTACTTGCTAGACATGTCTATGGATGTTCCACCAATATCTCAGACTCATCTCTAGAACCCAGCCAGCATTATCCAAACACATTCTCCTCTCCCTCCCTATTCCAACTTTTCTGGTTGCTTTTTCTTTTCTTTTTCTCAAGGCATATCATATCTCTCCTTATAAATTATAAGCTGATTAAGAGTAAGACCCATGTTTTATATACTTACAAAGTATATCTTTGAATCTGCCAAAGGACACATCCATAATGCATGAACACAGACTTATAAATATCCAGATTTCTTTCAGTTTATGACATTAGTGATGTTAAAAGTCCAAATCATGCAAGGGCCATTCATAAATACTGACTGCACACATGCTGTTGGTCAGGCAGCGTATCAGGTGCTGGAGATAGAGTGGTGAATAACGTAACAACACAACATGTGTTCTGCCCTTGTGCTCTAGAGAGGAAGACAAAATGAAAAGGTAAAAGACACCTGTGATTATAAATTAAAGAGCTATGAAGAGAATGAACAGGATGGTCTGCAATATGGTGACCTATTTTAAGTGGATGGGCAGGAAAATCATCTGTGAGAAGAAGATCTTTCAACTGAGACTGAAGAAAGAGAGGAATCATGTGAGAAGTCAGAGGTTGTGCGTTCAGGCAGAGGGAACAATATGGGCAAGGGCACAGAGAGTGAAAAAAATCTTGATGCACTTAAGGAAAGCCAGTGTGAGCTGGCAATGTAGCCAGATCAAAGAGGCCAGTCCTTGGAGGCCATGTTAAGTGTGGTTTGTACTAGAAGAGCATGGGAAACTATTTAAAGGATTTAAGCAGGGACTTCCCTGGTGGTCCAGTAGTAAAGAATCCACCTTTAATGCAGGGGATGCGGGTTCGATCCCTGGTCAGGGAATTAAGATCCCACATACCGCAGGGCAACTAAGCCTGTGAGCCACAACTACTGAGCTCATGCGCCTCAACTAGAGCTCATGTAAAACTACAGAGGCCATGGGCCCTGGAGCCTGAGCACCACAACTAGAGAGAAGCCCACGCACCAGAATGAAGAGCCTGCGTGCTGCAATGAAAGATCCCCCGTGCCGCAACTAAGACGCGACACGGCCTAAATAAATAAGTCTTAAAAAAAAGGATTTAAGCAAGGGAGTGGCCTGCATGATTTGATTTAGAATTCTAAAAATTCACTTTAGCTTCTATGTAGAAAATCGATGATGTGGGGATGGGATGAATAGGGAGATCAGGTTTTGGATTACTGAACAGCTCAGATGAGATTACCGTACTTGAAAGAGGGTAGTAGCAGGGCAGACGAAGCTCATCAAACCGATGAGCTGGAGATATATTCTGAAGGTCGATCAATAGAACTTAATTACTGATGGATTAGATGTGGGGAATAGAGAGAGAGAGGGGACTCAGAATTACTTTCCAAGTTTCTGGTCTGAACAACTGGGCAGATGGAGTGCTGTTTTTGGGAAAGAAAGATTGAGTGGAGGAATAGTTGAGATACGGGTCAGAATTCAGTGTTAGACGTGTTACGTGCACCATGCCCAGTAGACATCCAAGTAGAGATGTCAGGTAGGCAGTAAAACATATGGGTCTGGAGCTGAGAAGAGAGGTCCAGGCCGGAGACACGAACTGGGGAATCATGGTGGTATTTAGCGGGATTATTTAGTTGGTACATAAAGATACAGGAAATTGGTTAGAGCTCTTAAGAAGGAGAGAAAGAGAAGGAAGGAGGGCTCAGAATGGAGCCGTAGGCCTTTCCGACACTTAGGGTGGAGGGAAAGAAGCCAGCAAAGGAAACTCGGAGTGGCCAGATAGAAAGGAGGGAAGGGCTCAAAAAGTGTCATGAAAAGAGAGCCTTTCAAGGAGAAATGCTCATTCTTGATAACAGCTGAGAAATTGGGTGAGCCCATATTAGAATCCTCTCTACTGGGGAGGACTTCTTACCAAGGATAGAAATCACTTGTATTTTGTCTTTTATTTGAGACCTTAACGCATCTCCCAGCACACAGTGGGCACTTGAAACATATTAATCAAATGACACATTAATTGAATGACTGAATATTTTGGTTCAGTTGAGAGTGAGTGATAGGCATGACAAGTTTAAAAAAGTCTTTCTGTTCTCCTGCCTACATGCTCTCCACCCCCCGCCTGATTCTCACCCTTGCCTGCAAAAGTAATTGATTGGGGTTAGAGCAGTATCTTCAGGCTCTGTAATAGCAATGTTAAATACCCTTTATTTCTCCCAATTTAGGAAACATGGACTGTTCTCTAAGCCTTGGAGGAAGAAAACTCGGGGCTACCATAGTGTATGAGATCATAAAGGGTGGCTGTTTCTGCAAATGTAGTGAAATCATAACCATAATGACCATCACAGAAATTAGGTCCTGCCCTATGAAGTGCTCTACTGGCCACTCTCCTCTTAGTTATCCTGTGAAAGAATTGTGTTGAGTGGATTTCATTGTGTAAGATTCTGGTGAAAGGAGGGAAAGAAAGAGGTAGGGGTTCAGATCAGTGGCTCTGACGCTGCCAGTGCCTGAGGGTGTGTGAGGGCTTCTGAAACCCGCAGCTGATCCAGACCAGTTCTCCAACAGCCTCCTTTTAGCTCCAGCATAAACACTCCTAGCCTGGCTTAGGAGGTTCACAGCGTGTCCCTGCCTCCCTACTCAGCCTCATATTGTACGATCCTGTGTGGGAGCCGCTAACTGCTCTAGCCAAGACCGCCTCTTCTGGTTCCTCTGCCTGGCCCTGCTCGCCCTGTCCCGCATCCCTCCTCTCAAAGTGCTTAGCCTAACAACCCTCCTTGTCCTTCAACTCTAACTGTCCCTAAAGCATCCAGAACTTTCTCTAGTTAGTAAATGTTTGTCTACCACTTGGCTGAAAATTTTCCTGAAAGCTTCTCCTGCCTTGTTCACCGTGGCATCCTGTGGACCTAGCAAAGTGCCTGCGCAATGAATATGCTGAGTGAGTGAACAAGTAATTTAATTACGTGTCTGCCTTTACAACTTCAGAGGTGCTATTGCAGTATGGTTTTAATGCACATGCGCACACACACACCATTTGATGAATGCTGTTTCTTTCTCTCTTTTTTTCCAAACAGTAATAATTAATAACTGTACCTGCATCTCCTGCAAATACCGGCCTAATTATCTATGGCTGTCTCTGGTTGCTCTAGAAAGAAACCTGAGGCACACCTGGATTAATGAGGACGAGAATCAAACCCAGTTCAGGTGTGTTGTGCTGTGGGTCCCCAGCGCATTTTCAGAGGCTCATTATGATGCCTGACTCTTGACCTCAGCTGAGTCTAAGCTCTGATGGCAGGTGTATCCGGGGGAACTGAGTGGATGCGTGGGAAGGGGGAGCATCAAGAACCGGAGGGAGGAATCCGTTGAAGTGAGGCAAGTCACAGTGCTTCCTTAACCCAGACTCGCCCTTGGACTCGGCCACAACCTAAACTGCCCGCCTGTGCCTTTCAGCTCGAGCCACTGCTCCTCAAGCAAGCAGCCCGGACTTAAGAGGAAGTATGGGGAGGAAGGAAGTGGGCATAGAGGAGTGCAGGGTTCTGAGTCTTGAAGTGATATACCATAACATCTTTATCGGGCGCCTTCAGGGAGTGCGCTTTGTGTTTAATTTGTGGCTCCCCAGTGGTTGCTTGTGCCCCCAAAATCAGGTATACCGCTTAACTATCAACGAAAGATCAGGACAGTTCCCCGCCACAGTCCCTCCCGGCGCCCAGGTTTGTGGCCGGCCTTTGGGCTACTCCGGGCAGGCCGAGGAGCCTCTGCGTTCATAGTGGGGCGCGCGCGGGTCGGATTGGGGCCACGCCGCTAACATCTAGGCCTCAATCACGGATAAAAGGCGAAGCCCCGGACCCCTTCCGGCTCCACTCTTGCAGTCCCGGGAGCCCAGAGTCATCCCGTGCTCCGGGACTAGGAGGCCCCGGCCTGGACGCGCGTTCTGCGCAGCCAAGGTCCCCTAGCGCCCCCTACAGTCTCACGCGCGGGGAGACGGCATCGGGTCCTGCGCCTCCGCACTGCGCCCGGGACCCCACCCAGCGGCCCGCGCCCCGGGACCACGTGAGCACCGCACCTCCAGACTGCAGAAACGGGGCGTGGGGACCGGCGAGCGCGCAACATCCCCGGCCACCTCTGATCGCTCCGCCCGCCGCTGCCTGACTTACCCTCCCTCCCTCCGTCCCCCCCCCCCCCCCCCGTTCCTCCCGCCCGCCCGCCCGCCCGCCTGCCGGCGCCGGACACGCTGATCCTCTTCTCTTAGGGCGCTCTTCCCCTTGGCCGACCGTCTCATCCCGTGCAACTTTGGGACGGACAGTGGCCGTTTGGTGTTGAATGTTCCCCTCGGAGAGCGCATGGCTGCGGAAGCGAGGTGCGGGCCGGGCCCGCGAGGGGCCGCCGTATGGGAGGCGGTGATGCTACTGCTGTGCTTGGGAGTCCCGACCGGGCGCCCCTACAACGTGGACACCGAGAGCGCAATGGTTTACAAGGGCCCCGCCGACACCCTGTTCGGCTACTCGGTGGTGCTGCACAGCCACGGGGCGAACCGATGGTGAGTGGGGTCGGAGGCGGCGCCCTCGGTATCTCAGAGCGGCGAGCGAAAGGCGCCTCAGGGATTCCCTGCCCGGTTCAAACTTTCCTCCCTCCGCGGGAGGCAGGAGGGGAACCCTGCGACGGCCAGCTCGCTAGAGAAGTGCTCGGGAAACTAACTTATCTTGGGGTGGCAGCACCCGGGGTGCGTTCTGGCGCCAGGCCCTGGAGTTTGGGGTGGCGGGTTGGGTGCGCGGAGTGGTGGGCGGAGGAGTCCGTGAAGACCCGGAGTTCAGTGGGCAGCACGGCTCACGTCTGCGCGCACGTGCCCATTGCTCACTTTAGGCTCGTAGTCGGGGCGCCCACGGCCAGCTGGCTCGCCAACACTTCAGTGGTCAATCCTGGGGCGATTTACAGATGCAGGATTGGAAAGAACCCAGAGCGGACGTGCGAACAGCTCCAGCTGGGTGAGTTGGACCTGGGGCCGGGAGCTAGTGACCCACTCCCCCCAAAACACACACACACACACACACACACTTGTGAGCCCCACGGTAGCAGAAGTCCTGGAAAAACTCGTGTTGCCTATTACTTTTAGTTTAAAGCGAATGACGTTCACTTAACTCTAGGCCATCTTCCCTTCTAAACATAAAAGTGGTCTCCTTTCTGTCAATATTGTTCTCCCTTTTGCTTATGACAATGATTGCAGTACTCTGACCAAACTACGTGGAGAAAAATTTCTTATAAAACCTTCTCCTCACCTCTCCCCTCCCCACCCACCCCTCCCCCACTCAGCAAAGTGTAAAACACATCTTAAAGTCTCTCAGCACATTAAGGACAGGCTCCAGCTGAGCCAAGACTTGAGAATTTTATTTCTATCTTTGACCTATCAGCCTTCTTAAAGAACAGGCTAAGGGGCAGATCAGGAATAGCAGTTGGAAGTGATCCCATACCCTGTCATTTAGCCCAAGGGCTTTCTGAAAAAGAAAATTATACAGTTTTACTTAGATATGAAATGTAAAAAAGGAGAGCACAAGAAAAAATTGGCATCTCCACTGTTCATATAATTAAAATGAAGTTTAACATATAATTATTAATTTTTCTTTCCAGAAACTCCGATGTTAAATGGATACCTCTATTTGAAATCATTTCTTAGTGTCTCTTCTTAGATTTGTGACAGCTTGAAAAATGCATTCTGATGGGGGAGAGGAGAAAGTTCACGTTTCAAAGCCAAAAACAAATTTGCTTTGCATAGACACATGGGGGAAGAAAGGGGAACTAATATCAATGCAGACCCTATCTTGCTTCAAACATTGTTAGGAACTGCTATATATGTTTCTTGTTTTCCACAAAACACCACTGGGTCATGGTTGGCATTGTTCTTACTTTACACATGAGGACTCTGTGACTCAGAGAGTTGCAAGGACTTTTTCTAAAGTTATTCAGCTAGTGAATGGAAGATGGGACCTCAAGTCAAAGTCAGGTCTGCCTGGGTCCAATGTCCAAGCCCTTTTCTTTCATGTATGCATCTTCAGTGAAAATAAAATTCAATGACGAGTCCGATATGTTGTCTGCTGAGCTGATGAGTCATCTGTGAATGGTGAATAAAAGGTCATATTTGGTACCTTTTTCCTATTTATCTTTGCTATCAATGGACCTTTGGGATAAGTTAGTTACTGAATCTTTACCACTCCCCTCCCCCCATTTTTGGTAGTAATCTTTGCTTTTTCTCAAACTGGGAAGCGGCTTCCCTTCATTGAGAATGAAGTCAAATAGAGTATGCACATAATGGAAGTTTATTTTTGACTCAGCATCCGTAAGAGTCTAGGAGTTGTCTGCAGTGTGTAGAATAGGCCCCAGCCTCTCATTAAGCATCTTCCATCCCCAAAGGCAGACTAGGAAAGCATAACATATTCACAGACCTATCCATTTGGAATAATTCTGCAAAGTATAATTTTCATTGCATGAGAGACTTGTAGGATGAATTAGGGAGCGGAGCAGACAGCCTTGATCTGCCAGAGGATCTTGACAAGGTCTCAGGAGGGGATGTTTTATTTTTGTTGTCCTGTCATAGTTTCCTGATTCATGACATTATAACTACTGGTATTTAACTCCTACTTCCTGTCTGGAAGGGCACTGAATCTATTTCTAGATGTCGGTATTTAACTGGAAATATTCTGTCATAATATTATATAATATTTAAAATTTAAGATGATAATACCTGTCAAAATTGAAGGGAAACGTATATTGATTGGGCACGTGGAGCATAGGGGTTGACTACAGAAATATCCACAGAAAAACGTGCACATGATAGATGTTCAACACACATGAATTAAGTGAAGATGTACTGGATGGATAAATGAATAAAAGCAAAGTGAAAGTTTGTCATCGACCTGATCGGTGAATAAGAGAATTAGTTAGAAATGAGAAGCCAAAGGGATATTTTTAACTTTCAAATTTTTGATCAATAAAAAGGTTTCTACTGAGATGAAAGGCAAAAAGGAAGACAAGATTTCTAGTCAGTCAACTGGTTGAAACACTAATAGCTGTAGTAATAGCTATGAACATTTGCAAAAGAGTTGACTGAAATTACTTCTCAAATAACATTTCAAACGATACATCTTCTCTTCCTTATATGAAGAAATTGTGTGTTTCAATTCAGCACAGACTCAGAAGTAACTTGAAACTGTAAAATAAGGGATTGAGGATAATGTCTAGAAAGGAAACACTGAAAACAATACATCGGTAACTAAAGACATTAAAAAATTCTCAGGTTTGTGGACTATGTAGTATTCTTTATGAAGAATTTTCAAGGAAAAAATACATACACAATCGTCTGTATAAGACGGCTTCAGTTGTTCTGTCTCAAATATGGGTGACTATAAAATAGGCAAAATGTTTAGCTCGGTACCTGACATACAACTGACATTCAAAAAATATTAGTTTATTTTTTATCTCTATTTTCTACTTAAATCTGTATCTGCATGTTATCTGTTATAGGCAGGTTGAGGTTATAAATATGGGTAGTTAATAGATGAAACCAAAAGTTAAATGTGTAAATGCAAAGGTAGCAGTTGAAACACAATGAAAAATATTTTTTGTTGGCCCAAGCAAAACATCTTTATTTTTTTTTTTAAACATCTTTATTGGAGTATAATTGCTTTATTGGGATAAGTTAGTTACTGAATCTTTACCACTCCCCTCCCCCCATTTTTGGTAGTAATCTTTGCTTTTTCTCAAACTGGGAAGCGGCTTCCCTTCATTGAGAATGAAGTCAAATAGAGTATGCACATAATGGAAGTTTATTTTTGACTCAGCATCCGTAAGAGTCTATTGTAAGGTCTGTTGTAAAGCTGGCTGGCTTTCTTCTCTGATTGCTGTGGCTAAAACTTCCAAAACTATGTTGAATAACAGTGGTGAGAGTGGGCAACCTTGTCTTGTTCCTGATCTTAGTGGAAATGCTTTCAGTTTTTCACCATTGAGGATGATGTTGCCTGTGGGTTTGTCATATATGGCCTTTATTATGTTGAGGAAAGTTCCCTCTGTGCCTACTTTCTGCAGGGTTTTTATCATAAATGGGTGTTGAATTTTGTCGAAAGCTTTCTCTGCATCTATTGAGATGATCATATGGTTTTTCTCCTTCAATTTGTTAATATGGTGTATCACATTGATTGATTTGCGTATATTGAAGAATACTTGCATTCCTGGAATAAACCCCACTTGATCATGGTGTATGATCCTTTTAATGTGCTATTGGAATCTGTTTGCTAGTATTTTGTTGAGGATTTTTGCATCTATGTTCATCAGTGATATTGGCCTGTAGTTTTCTTTCTTTGTGACATCTTTGTCTGGTTTTAGTATCAGGGTGATGGTGGCCTCGTAGAATGAGTTTGAGAGTGTGCCTCCCTCTGCTGTATTTTGGAAGAGTTTGAGAAGGATAGGTGTTAGCTCTTCTCTAAATGTTTGATAGAATTCGCCTGTGAAGCCATCTGGTCCTGGGCTTTTGTTTGTTGGAAGATTTTAAATCACAGTCTCAATTTCAGTGCTTGTGATTGGTCTGTTCATATTTTTTATTTCTTCCTGATTCAGTCTTGGCAGGTTGTGCATTTCTAAGAATTTGTCTAAGAATTTCTTCCAGGTTGTCCATTTTATTGGCATATAGTTGCTTGTAGTAATCTCTCATGATCTTTTGTATTTCTGCAGTGTCAGTTGTTACTTCTCCTTTTTCATTTCTAATTCAATTGATTTGAGTCTTCTCCCTTTTTTTCTTGATGAGTCTGGCTAGTGGTTTATCAATATTTTCTTCTCAAGGAACCAGCTTTTAGTTTTATTGATCTTTGCTATCATTTCCTTCATTTCTTTTTCATTTATTTCTGATCTGATCTTTATGATTTCTTTCCTTCTGCTAGTTTTGGGGTTTTTTTGTTCTTCTTTCTCTAATTGCTTTAAGTGCAAGGTTAGGTTGTTTATTTGAGATGTTTCTTGTTTCTTAAGGTAGGATTGTATTGCTATAAACTTCCCTCTTAGAACTGCTTTTGCTGTATCCCATAGGATTTGGGTCATCGTGTTTTCATTGTCATTTGTTTCTAGGTATTTTTTTGATTTCCTCTTTGATTTCTTCAGTGATCACTTCGTTATTAAGTAGTATATTGTTTAGCCTCCATGTGTTTGTATTTTTTACAGATCTCTTCCTGTAATTGACATCTAGTCTCATAGCATTGTGGTTGGAAAAGATACTTGATACAATTTCAATTTTCTTAAATTTACGAAGGCTTGATTTGTGACCCAAGATATGATCTATCCTGGAGAATGTTCCATGAGCACTTGAGAAAAATGTGTATTCTGTTGTTTTTGGATGGAATGTCCTATAAATATCAATTAAGTCCATCTTGTTTAATGTATCATTTAAAGCTTGTTTTTCCTTATTTATTTTCATTTTGGATGATCTGTCCATTGGTGAAAGTGGGGTGTTTAAGTCCCCTACTATGAATGTGTTACTGTCGATTTCCCCTTTTATGGCTGTTAGCATTTGCCTTATGTATTGAGGTGCTCCTATGTTGGGTGCATAAATATTTACATTTGTTATATCTTCTTCTTAGATCGATCCCTTGATCATTATGTAGTTTCCTTCTTTGTCTCTTGTAATAGTCTTTATTTTAAAGTCTATTTTGTCTGATACGAGAATTGCTCCTCCAGCTTTCTTTTGGTTTCCATTTGCATGGAGTATCTGCATGGAGTATCTTTTTCTATCCCCTCACTTTCAGTCTGTATGTGTCTCTAGGTCTGAAGTGGGTCTCTTGTAGACAGCATATATATGGGTCTTGTTTTTGTATCCATTCAGCCAGTCTGTGTCTTTTGCTGGAAGCATTGAATCCATTTACATTTAAGGTAGTTATCAATATGTATGTTCCTATTTCCATTTTCTTACTTGTTTTGGGTTTGTTATTGTAGGTCTTTACCTTCTCTTGTG